AGTATGTAAAGACAGAAACATGTTCAGAGGAGATGTTCAGGTGATATACTGTAGAGGACCTCCTATAGAAACACAATGAGGAAATATTGTAGTCTAATATCACTCCTACCTCTTATTTAAAGTTCAGAGTGAAGCAGACCTGCATTTGCATAATATAAAAATGAGAATCCCCAGAGAGCACTTTTCATATTGCTCCCATTTCAAACTATGTATGTTTTTGTGGCTTTTTTGTGTAAATTCCTCGCCCTCCTCTCACTTCAGCGCGTCGCACCGCAGACCTGACACGTACAAGGCTGTCTGACTGATCAAAAACACGCTCTAAGCTCTAATCATTTCTGCCTTGATCCTTCTCCTGTCACCTTGCCCTTTAATTTCCACAAAAAGAGCAGAGCAGAAGGAGTGATCTCATGCTTTCTCTTTCTGCGCTCCCCGTCCGCTTAGCCTCACCCTGCTATTCACTGATTAACCCTCACCCCTGCAGCCCTCCCCTCGCACCCCTCCGTCCCCAGCTCCTGCGCTACAAGTCAAGAAATGCTGCCATTGTACATTTCTGCAAACCACAAATACATCACATTTGAATGTTTCATACGCATCATATTGATGTTTCTGAAGCGACATAGTGTATGAGCTGACTTTGTCATCAGGAGGTGGAGGGGACGGTGGATAGTGAGACGCCTGCCAAGGTGCACACCGCTGTTTGAGACCAACAAACAACAACAAAAAAGGTGTTTTTTAGCGAGTCGCTGCTGTGTTTCCGAGACGTTTTATGCACCAAACTTGGGTGTTTTTAAGGGATCTGTTGGTGGTTTTCTAGTAGGAATACTGCCACAATTAGCGGTTGATTTTCACCCAGACATCGCTGCGTTTCCTGCTGAGAGAGTGGCACGTAAAGCAGCTGTTTTTTAAAGAGACATTGCTGCTTTCCAATCAGCCCCCAAAACTAGGTATATTCAGCCTAAAAATCATCTCTTCCAAACCATAAGCAAGTGGTTTTTGTGGCTAAACCTAACTACACATTAACCACAGTGTTGTTGAAATGTAAAGTTCAACATATCTGCCACATAATAACGTGCAAATGTGACGTATCTGTGGTTTGCAGAAACATACATTGCCAATATTTTTCTGCTGATTTGGCTACTGAGTGTTTTTTGCTTTGTCTTTGGCCCGGTATACTGAGCAATTTTGGGCTGTCCCAGACAAACGCTGACCAACGTGAAAGAAATTTGCCGATATCTTTTTTCTCGTCTTGCCTGTCTCTAAAATGGTGGTCCTATGTCGCACAGTGAGGGAGTTTCAAGGATGGCTGTTGCGATCAAAGACAGCCTGGGATAAAATTCTGACAGTGTAAGAAATGTGGGATGACCATCTCACTGTGTGACTGATGTTACCACCTACGTCTGCTAACCAACCAACAGAAATGCAGCACGACATGACGCTGGAGCTAAACCCAAACAAAGAGACTAACAGCAGCTCGCCTTGGAGGCAAAACACGCTAAAAGAAATGTGTGGGATTCCAGCAAAGAGGAAAAGAAGGACGAAACGTGGAAGGAAATAGAGGCGGAGTTACAGCTGCCAGGTGAGACACCTAGCAGCTAGCAAACACACACACACACACACATACACACACACACACACACACAGTGTATAGTGCCCACAAAACTTTAGGTTATTTAATAATGTGTGCCTCTATGTTGAGCTTCGTATGTTGTATCCTACATACACATACAGTTTGCATACATCAAACTTGATGTCATACCCAAGTTTATTAGATCCATGTTGCACAGTGTAGCTTGCATTAAACTTGTGCAATATCACAGAAAGGGATACCACAGACTGATAACTGCACTTTAGGAGAAGACCCAGGGTGATCCAGTGTTACATCAAAACTGTCAGTTAAGAGAAACAGGTATTTACAGTAGATGACACTCGTCAACTAGTCCAGTGTTCCCAACCTAAAGGTTTGGATGTCCCTCCGCTCACATAAATCTCAGGGGTCGCAAGATGATTAAGAAACAAATAAATACAGATTTATCAAGGAGAAAGCCAGAAAAAATAAATGTGTAGCACTACACAAAATTACATTTATTTTTGCTGACTTTCTCCTGTGAGCTCTTCAGCTTATAACAACCCTTCAAATCAAACAATCTGAGAAGGAGAACTCATCTCACAGCTTGTGATGAAGAGTCATGTGGCTATTTCTTCATTTCAAGGTGTCGCAGGATAAAAAGGTCAGAGACTGGAGGGCGCTTTACTGAAGCTGACAGGAAGTGAAACACCAACACTTCTGAAGACTCATTTAAAAGGGAAAATGTCTGCATGTGCTGCCCTCTCAGATATGAGGACCTTCTGTTTTATATGATTGATTGATTGATTTTTATTTGTGTCATGCACACTTACATGTGCCCAACCCTCATGGGTTTACAAGACACCATCACAATGACGCTGCAGTAACAGTCAAAAGCACTGCTACTCAGTCTAGAAGCAGAACACTCTGCCTTTAGCCACAAATGAATCAAAATCTGAAACAAAACTCAAATTTTTCATGATCATCCAGGACAAAAGAGATCAACATAGACAGTGGTCGATTTACTGAAAAGTACATCCCTTATGTTTCCATATACAGGACAGTAAAACAGGAAGTGAACCTCATTCTCACCTTCACCTAAATTACACGCCAAACAAATTCTGTCTTCCTCTAGAGTGGCGTTAAACCTTCCAGTCTCTGAGGCTAAAGGTGACGTTCCTGAGCTCAACTTTGCACGCTTTTGTTTAGATTATACTCTAGATAAGGTTCCACACTGTAGCTGTTCTTTATGAGACAATAGAGTTGTAGTTTTGGTTTATATCAAGTGTCAGCAGACCGTTTTTCTCTTAACATGAGAGACATGTCACTCCTAATCTCCTGAATATCACAGATGAACCTGTTCTGGAAAATAAATAACACCTTGTTCTCATAATTTAAGGATTTTATGTCATTAGCCCATTGGACATCTTCAGAAGTCCATTCCCGAGCCGAAGCATTTGACATTTATGCCTGATGTTTGGAGGTTTCCATCCCGTATCTCCACTTACGGCCAAAACAGGAGTTCATTTATGGACACCCAAGAAGGATGGAATCGCTCTATAATGCACTGTGTTACAACTTGTATGTTCTTGAAAACCCCAAACAGCAGAGGTATAGTCACACACAGAGCACACATGAATTATAGAGCAAGATTGCCACGTTGTTTAACGTTGTTCAGTGCAGAATGTGAATGGTTGTCTGTCTCTATGTGTCAGCCCTGCGATAGTCTGGTGACCTGTCCAGGGTGTACCCTGCCTCTCGCCCGATGTCAGCTGGGATAGGCTCCAGCCCCCCCGCGACCCTCAAGAGGATGAAGCGGTTAGAAGATGAATGAATGAATGAGAGTGTAGATTCCAGTGCTCTACCCACTGACTGAGCCTGAACACTGACTGCTCCTTTAAATAACATGTGCTCTCCTCTGTAATGTAATATTCCCGTTTTGTATATCATTGTAAACTGAACAGCTTTGGGTTTTGAATTGCTGGCTGGACCAAAGACTTCACCTTGGGCTCTGGGACACTGTGGGAAGCATTTTGTGTCTTGTTTTTGGACATTTTCTGTGCTAAATTGTAATGCAAGTAAATTAAAAACTCACCCATAAATTAACCATAGATGAAAATAATTATTAGCTGCAACTCATTTCTCCATAACTCCTTTAATAACAGCTCACGCTGATACGATGTCCGATCTCTGATGCTCACAATGAGAGATATACAGTACATGCAAAGCCATCAATCAATATAAAGAGGCATTTGGACATGAAATAAGGAGGACCTGCCTTCGCCGTAACAATGACACCATAAATCTGTCTGTTGGCGCTCCTGGAACCTGCAGCTCAGACTGTCGATAGATGTCACCTGCCTCTGATGTGAACTACGATCCTGTGCTGCACATGCTTCAGCGCTGATGGCCTGTGGGTGTCTCATCCCTCCTGCGACCGGCTGCTATATCAAAGGCCAGAGATGTATATAGTGTGACGTGGTGAGAGTCATCCTCTTTCTCTACAGAGAGACTAAAGAGGAGAGAATAGGCTTTACAAAGCAAGCTGTCTTCTCAGCGGGGGTTTGTTTAGAGGCAAATTGGTCATGAAGTCGATGCCCAGGCCAAGATTTTGTTTCTATGTATCTCAGTGCCCACGTTATGATCTCACCCTCCTCTAGGAGAAGCTTCGGTTTAGGGCAAATCAGCCTATTGTGAGATAAAAATGAGAGAGGAAACAGAAAGAAAAGGCTCCTCTCTGTGAAAAGGGGTCAAAATATCAGCCTTGTTCTCTGAAGATGTGGGGGCAGAGCATGCCTGTTTGATTTGACACAGCGCTCGTCACCTGCAGCGTGATAATGAAAATGTGAGCAGCTACATGATTGCGCCACATTCATAGATCAGGCTCTCAAATACCCACAGCAGCGTCAACTGTGGGACCACGGAGTACCTGAGCGGCTGCGAAGAGGGGAATAACATCGCCATCTAGAGGCTCTAATCAGCCTCGCTCCCACACACTGATCTGAGCAGGGGGAAAAATGCCTATCATGCTCTCCCACGTTACTCACAGAGTACTCACTCACTCTTCTCAACAAGTGGATCCAAACAGCCACAAGAGGAAGCTGTCCAACTGAACACAGCAGAGCCCTGCCTCTGCATCTGAAACATTTATCCACTGCTTGATGAGACTCAGAACTATAGCTCCCCATGCAAGGTCACTTCAAGCCAGCATGCAATACTGCTGGGGCAAGAACGAGCGGACAGAAAGACAGATAGCGGATAGAGAGGATGGGGGAGGATAGATACCTGAGACACAGATAACCTTCGGTGAGAGCATGCACAGCTTGGAGCTTAACCGTATCTCAACTGAGACAGGTGACCAATGGAACAATGAAACCAATAAATACAAAGGGATGGAGTGGAAGAGTCCGCAGGGCAGAGTGTTTTTGATTCTTACCTATGATGGGAGCCAGGCGGAAAATGTCAGAGAGACGGCTGTTCACTGGTTCATACGGAGAATCCTCCAAGAAATCATTACCTGTGAGGAAGAGGAGCAAATGTTCAGATAGATAGATAGATGGTGTTTTGAACCCCCTCCTGTTTTGTTTATCATCTTTCACCCCTCACATTGACCTGCATGTGACATGGGTTATTTGGGTCAGTCGATATCCACACTGGCACACAGCCACACGCTTGATTAGGCAGGTTGGTCAGCTGTGTTGCGCAACTGGAAGTCGACTCGGCGGCAGCGGGCCTGGATGCAGTTTAGGGACTAAAAGGGCCCCCCTGCTATGATCAACACTTAAAGATGGCACTGCGAGCACTGAGGGGCGTCACGCTCCATTACCCTCAAGGAAAGTGATTTAGGAGGTCAAAAAGTGTCTCGGCTCTGCAGGACCGAGACTGAGGGCCGAGTCCAGGGGCCAGATTTGAATGAAAGTTGAGTGATTGTGCGTGATCACACTGGACTGCTAATGGATAAATAGCTGTGTGCTACTTTTTGAGGGCTTTTTGTGTGTTTCTGGGAGCAGGGGTGGAGGCGGAAGGGGAGGAGGAGGAGTAGGGGGGTCATAACAGTGGGAGGAGCTGGGGCAACTAATCCTTTCACCCTTTACAGGACAGATTAGAAACCCTATGGGGAGCGAATGTCCATTTCACATTCACCAAAGCTGCAGGGTGTTCTCTAAATGTAGCAGCCCACCCAAACAAAGAGCCCTGAGGGATTTTGGTAGAGTTTTATGCACCCCCTCCCCTCCAAAAAAAATAAATCTCTAGTAGACCTTTAAACAAAAGCAACCTTTGATCAGATGGAGTTAAATTACGCACAATCTGGGGTGCGTCTCTTGACAAGCAAAAGTTCCCCCAACAGCCCCAAACCCTACCTTGTAATGTCTGATAGATCCCCCAGTAAATGCGCAGGCAGTTCTTCTCCTTCTTCATGCCCCTTTTACACCGGCAGTTGTACAGCGGGCTCTGTTTGAGCGCGTCCATGGCGCTCCGGCACTCGTCCTTGGCCTCCAGGCCGGCCACCATGCTGAAGTTGCTCTCCTTGCCGCCGGCCACGCACTGCCTCATGGTGCGGTACTTGGTGCTGCACGCCTGCTCCTTCAGGCACTGCTCGCTGGCCCTCACACAGTCCAGCCGGGTGGCCCCGGCGCGCAGGTTCTCCTCGGCGTAAGACAACACATCTGGAGACAGAGGTGGCGTTTATAATATAAATAACAGTATAGTGTGCGAAAAAGCACAATGCCTCTGTCGATGATTTTTTTGCTCATTTTTTCTACAGGTTTTAATATTATTTTGTAATATTCTAACCCCTGAAAGCAGCGTGAAAAACACGTCGCCACAAATACATCAGCGCATAAACCTGCGCATGCATAAACAGTTTTATACTTCTTAGCAGCTACTTCACTGACACTTTCATCACTCCAAATGCAGCTGAGTGAAGATTTGCCTCCACATTCATTATTGTTTGATGAGGCATCGTCAGATCCTTGATCGACTTTGTCGCTTTGGAGCAGTTTGGACTACAGTAACCTCTCCACATCTTTACCCCGCCGACTCTGCCACACTCCCTCTTATCAACACAGCTCACAAATTATCCCCAAATATACGCACCCATAAATTAGTATCAAACACACAGCTGTTGGTGGAAATAAATCAACTTAAACTTACCTAAAAGAGGCAGAAGGACATACAGTACTGGGAGGATCATCGTCTTCCTCTCCATGTGAAACATAAACCCTTATTTGGAACGAAATTTGCGAACTAAAAGCGACTTAATTTAATTCCCAGGGTACTTCCACTGTATTGAAATCCATTGAAAAGACGTAACAGTGCGCGCTCCGCTGTACAAAACAGATCCAGCTCGCCTCATGCGAGATATTTCACCCCCCTTCAAGAAAAAAGTGTCTAGTCCCGATTCGGCACAGTTTCTCTGACTCTATACAAAAAGAAGTGGTTGTTTCTTTCCCTCCCGTGCGGGTGGTCTTCTCACCGCCGGGAGACAAAGACAAGGGATCAGAGCAGTGGTGGAAGCGAAAAGGGCGAGAGTGTCCTCCAACTCCAGCCAGTGGGATGCTTGCGTCTGTGCGTCTGAGCGCACACAGCCAACTGGAGCCCCACTGCTGTCTAGCGCATTCAGCAAGGAGGAGAGTGCCAGCTTCCCCCTCGCGCTAAAGTACAGTAATCTTATAATAAATGTACAAAGCTAGAGCTTCCTATCAGAGCAAACACACTCCCTTATTAAGACAATATCACAGCGCTGAAAATAAATAATTAGCTTTAAGCTCACTTAACTCACTAATGAGCACCGGAGACACGAGTCCCAGCGGGAGCATAACAGCACAGAGATGATCATTCTGAAAAGGTTACCGTCACTGCTGAGTTGCACACTCACTACAAACCTCTCTGGGGTTATTACAGTGTCTTTATGGTGTTTACTTTTAATAAACTTTCCAGTTCACAAAGGGAAAAAAGAAACAATCACTTTTCCAGTCCATTAAAACACACATAGGCCGCGCTGTCTAACCGCAGAGGGCATGTGGTTGCATTTAAGATGTTATGAAAGGAAACCAGCACTAGGCTACTAACTCTTGATGCGTGTGGGCTGGTTTTACATTTCAGAGTAGCTGTGTTGACAGGGAGAGGACAGAGAGCACGCCTGGAGTGCGTTTTTATGACGTGGTTAATACAGCAACATGTGGAGTAGCTCATATGGTGATTTGTAAATCTGGATCTCCTTTTAAAGAGTCACACTGAAGTGACGAAGTGACATGTTTCAGCTGCACAGAGACGCTGGTCATGATGTTTCAAGCATGTGTGGCTCCTCCCTGTTTGCAAAATGACAAAAAATGTTATGCAACATAGGACAGTGGGCTGTTAGGTGTTTGATGATGCCACTTCAGATGGTGATATACAGAACATGGCTTTAGTACTTGGTGCGCAGAGGGAGAGCTGCCCTCAGTCCACACACAGGAGAGTGGACACTGTGGGACTGTCGCCATCTGTTGGTGGTTTTAAAGCAGGGTTGGAAATTAACTTCTGTGTTCACCTGCCACTGTGGATGGTGGATTCAAAGACCTATCAGCTACTCACCAGAGCTCAGCTGTTCACAAAAATTAATCTGGATCACAATGATTGAATGAATTTGGAAATCCCATGTTTTGCTGTTCAGGATCAGCTGATCCATCTTGTGCTGTTTTTTGAAGCAACATTGGATCAGATCACCTTGATCCAGATACAAACTTTTCAAGGAATCCAGTTCACCATTGCTGATGAGGTTTGAAGCAACACTTACAGAGCATCTCACAACCATTACACATCCTTCAAAAGAGAACAATCAGGACAGTAAGCAAAATTTTCAGATCTAGTCAAATTTAAAACCGATTTCATGCATGAATTATGACTACTTAAGTCAGAATTTTTCCCCCTGAGTGTTTATATCCCTCTTTAGTCGTGAAAAAAAATGAAGTTCATTTTTTGAAGCATGTATTTTTGTCAAGGAGTTATTTATACTCTAAAAAATGATTATAGAGTTAGTGGATAGCGCCTAAAATGAATAATAGCAGTCTGCCAACAAACATACTAAAATGACCACTTATGACCATAGGTGCTGCAAAAGAGAAAGAAACTGATTTGAGATCATAAATTTGAATATTTTTTTGTTGATTTTGACAGCTATTTGGGGCGTTTTAAAGAGTTTTAAAGAGGCAACATCCTTTTGTTTGCTTCATAGGTGGCCTCATGTCTATCTTATCTACTTCATCACAGTACCTGTTAAACATATCAAGTGTAACATGTAAATAAAATACATATACACATATACATAATGCATATATATGTGACCGATTTAAAAAAAAATATTACAATTTGATCCTGAAATCCACCCTGAATCAACCTTTCTGCTGGGATCAGGATAATCTTCATCTTTTTGACTCAAAGTCTTACCAAAGAAAATTTGACCAAAACATAGCCTACTGAAGGTTTGAGACTGGATTTCATGATCTAATCCAATTTCTGAATATTTTTTTCTTTAGAACAATCATTTTCAGGATTTGATCCTATCCGATGGCCAAAATCTGATCAGATTACTTCAACTTCTACTTTTTGGCTGGTGGATGAAACAAATCTAGCAGCCACTTGCATATTCTACCAGCATTTAGCTGGATGGCTGGTGTTAATTTCTAAAGTAAAGGTCGCTGTAAGCTTTTAGTTGGGTTTCTATGTGTATTTTTATTTGTTTTAGGAATTTGTATTATCATTGTAATTATCTCCCCTTTAATGATAGTACCTCCTGATTCTGTATGTTTCTATCATGTCCTGCTTGTTTTTATATGTAATACTTCGTTATCTTATATGATGTTTTATGTTTGTCATGTATTATGTATCAGTGAGTCATATGAAATGTGCTTTATAAAAAAAAATCTGCTTGACTTGTTAAAAGTAATGAAACCATATAAGATACTTTCAAACTCTATATGTTTTACACTTGATAAAGTGAAGGTAATTTGGGACACTTTTAAAACCACCGTAAACTTACCTAAAATCATATGGAAACTTTGGACATTCAAACACATCACTATCTAACTCAGTGACATGTTCAGGTAAAATGGGACGTCATGTTTGTTTTTAAATGGTTAAATCTATTTATTAGTTCAGTCATTAATTAGTTAAATCTTAAATGCAACATGTGGTTATTAATTCTAAAGAGATTGTCCAACTTTTCTGCCATGCTTTCACTGTTTCTTTGCTGCCTGTTTCCTTATATCATCAATGGATGTTGCTGACATGATGCTTACTGCATAATCTTCAATACAGTGACAAAAATGTCTGAAATATGACAGGATGGCACAAAATAGCATAACTCATGATGTCATGGCACCTGGTAGTCTTAAAACATGCTGGGTTTAGAAATAAGTCCCATTTTAGATTAATATAGTGTAACAGGGGAGAGCAGAGCACTATCTAACGCGGGGTAAACTGTAACAAGGTCTTTTCAAGCAATTATATACGGTCAATCATTTTGTGCTTCCGGCCTTTTGACCACAATAACGCCAAACAGTGACCTGCAAAATATCCTAGAGATTGGACGCGTTTCAGCAGAGTTCAGTGACAAAAAGTGTTTTGTACTGACACAGTAAATTTCTTTTTCATACTTGGTTTTTGATCACTGAGTTGTCTATGTAAGTCACAGAATCCAACCATGTATTATCTTGATAACGTTCCTCTTGCCTAAAATAAAGCACCATTTTGAACTATGTAACCAACTCACAGCAAGTGTTAGCCATAATTGATCTCAGGTAAGTTTCCATTGAACACTATCAGATTCCGTCAAAGGTAAGTTTCCATTCATCAATTTCAGTTTCAACACGCTACAAACTCAAAGTCAAAAAACTGTTTGCTTCCTCTGTCACACACCTGCTGCTCATCACCTGCACCTCACCTGTATCACCTGTGTTTTCCCGTTCTAGTGCGCCACCCCGTGTACAAACAATAAAACTGCACCTATTTACATGTAGTCACTGTTATTTAAACATTAATCAAAACAAATATATGAATGTTATTGTGGCTCCAACATATAATATCCACACATACTATGTATCTGTCTAAGTGTTGATCTTTCCATTCATGAGGCTTTGATGGTCAGATGAGAGATGTACAGATGTTTGGATGTCGATCATAGATAGATCCATAAACAGTTCTCGGTGCGATTGTAGAAGAAAGGCAAGTTCTAGAAAAGAACAACTGTTCATCTGTAGCAGAGATGTGCATGATGTTAGAATAAAACAACAAAATAATTGTGACTTTGAAAGTTGCATGGTTGTTGGTGGCAGACAGGCTGGTCTGAGTATTTCAGAAACTGCCGAGGATTTTCAGCACAATCATCTCTAGGGTTTACAGAGAATGGTCCCAAAAAGAGAAAATATCCAGTGAGCCAAAATGCCTTGTTGATGCCAGAGGTCAGAGGAGAATGGCCAGACTGGTTCAAGATGATAGAAAGGCAACAGGAAGTCAAATAAGCACTGGTTCAAACCAAGGTGTGCAGAAGAGCATCTCTGAAGCAACAACACCTTGTCCAACCTTGAAGCAGATGGGCTACAGCAGCAGAAGACCACACCAGGTGCCACTCCTGTCAGCTAACAACAGGAAACTGAGGCTACAATTCACAAGGGTTTTCTCACCAAAACTGGACAATAGAAGATTGGAAAAACCACATTCAGATGGAAGCATGGATCCATCCTGCCTTGTATCAACGCTTCAGGCTGCTGCTGGTGGTGTAATGGTGTGGGGGAGATTTTCTTAGTACCAACTGAGCATGGTTTAAACACCACAGCCTACCTGAGTATTGTTGCTGACCGTGTCCATCCCTTTATGACCACAGTGTACCCATCTTCTGATGGCTACTTCCAGCAGGATAACGCACCATGTCACAAAGCTCACATCATCTCAAACATGACAATGAGTTCACTGTACTCCAATGACCTCCACAGTCACCAGATCTCAGTCCAATAGAGCACCTTCGGGATGTGCTGGAACGGGAGATTGAAAAAAAGTGGTCCAACCTGGTACTAGCACAATGCACCTAATAAAGTGGCCAGTGAGTGTATAACCTGATTGTTTTAGCTGCAATGCTCTTATGACCAGAAAGAAAAAGTCAACATGCCATGTGGCTTTCCTTGACTCGTTGCTCTGCCTGTCTCAGACCAATAAAAATGACTGAGAGCCACAGATGTAAAACGGGATTTGCCCCATTTTCCTTTATGGCCCAAATTACCTGACTTCACACTGTTTCATTGCGGGATACAAAAAAATATGAGTATCACATTTTAAATACTGTGTTTAATCAATGTACAATCACATGAATAGAAATCTAACAGACAAAGCTTGATTATAATAATGGGGATGATGCATCATGTGACTTGTAACTCTTCCTATAGCTCATTGATTGCCTATATGGTCTTTTCAGAGGCTAATCCACTTGGCTAAATACATGGGACCAGACTATGTCAATGAGCCCCTCTCTGCATTAAAGACTGGGCTGAAATCAATGGATGCTGGCGTCGAGCACAGTAAATCAACCCTTATACACACACACACGCAGAGGGAGAAAGAGAGTTGGTTCATTCAGAGATGGGATGAAATTATCTTATTTAAACGTCAGTGAATAATCCCTGAAAAGGAAGCCGTGATTAGTTTGGTATGATGAATCAATCCTGCGAAGTACAGTCACTTTTCAAAATGACTTTCCATTTTGTTAAATATATGCCACAGGCCAGTGTCCACGGCTATTTTTACAGCGAACATGACAGGAGAAGAGACAGAAAATGGGTACGAATGAAAGACAGGCTCAGGCTGCTATCCAGGATAATTGTCTGCTTACAATTTGATGACTTTGCTGTTCTTAAGTCTCCAAAGGGAGCCTTGCCAGTCAGGGGGAAGGCTCAGTCTGGTGATTTATGAAAAGCCTCAATCAATATGTGATATTAATTTTGCAAATGAATGTCAGAATGATGTAGTCCTCAGGTCATTTAACGTTTCACACGGTAATGTGCTTTATGGCACCGGATCAGAGGCTTTTTCCTGTCCCCGTGGTGAAATGAGAAAATTGGTCAAAGTCAGAAATTGTGTGACAAATGTTGGGCAGTGAGTCTCAGTGGATTAGTGTGGAGAGAGCTGACTGTGCCGATACAGCACTTCTTAACGTCCACGGGCCAACACTCAGTCCAGTGAGGACAGACAGATCAATTTGACTGTAGGTCTGCTGTAGGCCAACTTTTATTCATTTGGCTGTGTGTGTGTGCGTGTGTGTGTGTCTGCAGCTAATCTCACAAACTACTGGACCTATCAGCCTCATATTTTGTGTTGCTGTCTGTCTGCAGCTAATCTCACAAACTATACCTATCAGCCTCATATTTTGTGTTTCTGTCTGTCTGCAGCTAATCTCACAAACTACTGGACCTGTCAGCCTCATATTTTGTGTTTCTGTCTGTCTGCAGCTAATCTCACAAACTACTGGACCTGTCAGCCTCATATTTTGTGTTTCTGTCTGTCTGCAGGTAATCTCACAAACTACTGGACCTATCAGCCTCATATTTGATATGCACATGTATGACTATGGGGTTGCAGTGATTCATACTTGTTTGACTATTTTATAGCGTCACTCACCCCCGCTATCCAACCTTTTGTTTGCTTCTCCACCCTCTTGAATGTAAGGGAGCTGGGAGGGACATAATTCTTTTGGGCCCAGCAGCCTCCGCGGTCCACCTGCGACCGGATTTTGTTCTCTCAGCAGCACGGCGTCACATTTAAAATGGGGATTATATTGCCTACCTAATTTTGCAGTTTATGATTTGTGCCGGATCATCACATTCAGCACACTCAACTGCTCTGCTTATGCTCGATTTTCTTTTCATGTCAAAAATAAAGAAAAAAAAATCTGACATGGAGGTGGGGGGTGGGGGAATTGCCCCTCTCTCTGGGTGGCATCCATAGATTTTAAAAATAACCGGCTACCAGACGCCAAGATGGCACCTATTAATTCCAATGGCCACTGGGAAAAAAATGCTGCAAGGCTGCCTTCCTGGGAGCCTGGTCGCGCCATACAGGCAGCTGCCTATGTCACCTATAGAAATGTCTGCTTCTAACTGTTACTTTGATGTGCTGTAGCCTACAGACAGCACCGTTCAAAGTTCAGTTATGAATACATGGATCAAAGATTTCTGGATATGTTTTGCCATTAAAAAAACATTCAGTGTTCATAATTATATCATATCTATATTTTACATACAGTGCCTGTTAGCAGGAAAACTATCTGCTCTGTGCAACGTGTTGTGGCTCCATTAAAAATAGACGAGGCACGTATTTTAGATTCTGAAATGTGTTGCAGCGCATCCACTAAAATTACAAATCGTGTAGAGTGGCAGTGATCAGTGTCTGCACCCTGCAGAGTTCACTTTGTGTGTGTGTGTGTGTGTGTGTGTGTGTGTGTGTGGGAGTGATAGCCCTGCTTACCCTCTGATTGGCGGTTGGGTCGGCAATTACAGTTAGGGCCAATTCATGGTTTCCGTGTCCACGAGGGTCCCCTTTGGTCCACATAATGTATGTCATCGTCTGGCTATGTCAGTGAGGGTCTGTGTGGACCTGAAATCAAAAGCAGAAACAGTTTATTAATCCCCCAGGAGAAATTGTGATTTGTTACAGATGTAAAGAAAAGAGAATTATAATAAGTAGAAATAAGAATATGAAATATAAGCATAAACATTAAGTTAACTAAAATAGAAATAAAAATGTGCATTACACTACAATGTTTAACACTAGCTAAGGATATTAAAATAAATATCTGCATTGTGCTAAATTACACTGTATAAACTAGTATGTTACATTACATAAATATAAAATGTCTTATGCTATAATGTTCACTACATGAAACACATCAATGATTAACAGTAATGCTAACGACTAGCAAGGTAGCATGAAGCCATTGTTGTGACAGTTATTTTTTTTTTACCTGGTGTTTTGACTCTCTCAAAGCTGTCCCCAACAAAATAAATGACTGTGGTTCATCTTTTATCAGTAATGGTGGTCTTATTTTGAATAAATAAAAAGAACAAACCAACCGGTGCCAGCCACAGGGGCGGGGCAGTCATTATTGAAAGCTAGCTGCATTATGCTAGCTAGATTAGCTTAGCTAGCCTTACGAGTAGTGCTGACTGAATTAGTAACAGGGGACTGACTAACAGTAGGATTTATTAATTTGATTCGACTTATTAAAATGAGTTTAGACACACTCTTTAAACAGATCCTCCTAACTGAACAACAGTTAACTGAGCAGACACAAAAACTCAAAGAAGGTAAGGCTAACTTTGTGCCTGCTTGCTAATTTAATGTTAAGCTAGCAAAATTAGCTATAGCATGTAAGCTAACACTGGAAGACTAGCTGCAATGCTAACTAGCCACGTTAGCAACAGAAGTAGTTAGCTAAGGGTAACATCTGTCTTTATCCACCCTCAGGTCACTCAGCTAACATTGTCTTAGGAGTATTTCTGTCTGGTTTAATAGCTTGCATTAGCTTAGTGCTCAGCTTGCTCAGTGTATGGCATTGTATGTTTTTTTGCAGGTTAGCCTGTTAGCTAACCTAGGCCAGACTTTAGCCTGTTAGCTAACCACCAGTTCTCTTTATTTCAGTCAAAACAGCCATCAGCAGATGCAATGAGAGGATCAAGAGCACCACTGGCAAGTGTGAAAGGACTCGTGAGGAAATTGATATAAAGGTGACACTGCAAAACAGTTTGTTTTCTCATTTATTTGTCGCTAATATCTGAATTATGAAGATATTTTGTGACTAGAGCTGGGGTCTGCACCTTTACTATCCAAAAATAATCTGTCAAAAATCTGTCAGGAGTGCTTTATAATGAAGGTTACACAGCCTATTAAGTCTAAATTAGCCTAATAACATTACTAATAGGTCTAAATTAGCATTCATTAATAGGTTTTAGCACAAGGTAGCTACTCTGCAGGGTGCTATGACTATTCAGTAAACAAACAAATCTGCCCACACACTTTAATTTTTTATTTTCCTCCGAGACCCATGAGACCCATCTCAGAAAATATGACGGTTTAATGGTATCTGGGTATACTGTAATATACAGTTATTAGGCTATTATCAGTTACAATGACCCTTACAGGAACGAAAAAAGAGGGTTTTTTTGGTTAAATGCTTCGTTATAACTGACACTTTAAATATTTTTTTACTGGAAGTATGTGTAAAAAGTATCCCTTCTGAAAATAAATAAATCAAAGGTGAGATTCTGCATCCACTTGCATGTTAATCATCAATTTTCATACCATGGTATACTGTGAAATCGGTGTGCCACTGCGAACCCACTCTAAATACACTAAGAGTTCATCTGGGGTTTTTGCACAAGGTAGAGTAACATGATGTATTAATAATTTACTATTTTGTCTTTTGTCTGTTGTGTCAGGAGGGAAATATACTATTTGTCTGCCCATCCAGTAGGATTCGTTTATAAAACTGGGAAATCTTTATTTTATTTATTATGTTATTTTTTATAGTGTGAATGTAAAACAGTTGTTTTGTTGTAAAATGTACAAAGATAAAAAATAACAGTAGTATGTGCTTTACCTTGAGGCAGCATGCAGTGTAAGTGGCATTGACATGAGGCAGATAAGTGCATATTGGCATATTGATGAGCTGATCTGCTTTATGATTTAAATCACTTAATCACTCCCATTCGTTTCATCAACACTGCACATTGAAAGTGCCCCTGCAAAATCAATGGCTAATTTCCACCGGATAACATTAGCGAAACCTTTTAGCATGTGTGAGATATGATGTCAAAGACGGGCTCGTTGACCTCTCAGAAATAATGCGAACTTCTTCCTGTGTTTAAAGTTGACATCTGATCAAAAGAGCAAATTACTCTGGCTAATTAAAAAGGTAGCTGAACACAATGCAGTGTCTGTGTGAGAATTATCAGGCTGAGAACACAGGACACGGATACCTTTTCTGACCCCTTCGGAGTGAGCGGAATATTGAAACTGTTTACATCATACAGATATGCAGGGCATGTTTACAGCACAGCGTGTTTACAGCTCTCATGATGTAACGTCTTACAGTTTATGAGAGCTGTCTTAAGATAATTACAGTGTTTAGAAAACTTGGAAGCTGATTGTGCTCGCTGAGAATGCTCCTCCACTACCGTATAAGAAACAATGAACTCAGCTCCTCGTTGACAGCTCGAGTAACAGACTGAAAACTCCACTGAAAGACATCTTTAAACAGCGCCCTCCGCGATTTTACCCTCCTACATAATTTGGCAGTTTTTTTTCTTTTGGGGTGTACGGTATAATCACACAGGATAAAGAGACAACAGGAACTAAACAAGAAAAGTTTGAAAGTGAATTACATATATACCTATATAATTGTGTTGAAAAAGAAACAGGTCATTTTTGTCCACCGTTTCCCGGTAAGCTTTACTAACATGTCAACTTGTACAGTATGCAGCACGGTGATGGTGCCAGCTGCCAGCTGCCACTCCTACAACTCCTTCTGTGGCATCACTAACACGTCTCTCACGTGTAAAGCATCAGTCATGTACGTTCCTCTCATCTGTCTGTCACATTGAGTCTCACTGTAACTGCCCACTCATGTCTTTGTGCTCCAGGCTCAGCAGTTGTCCGCGATGAGGCTGCAGCATGACCTGATGAAGAAATGTGAAGACCAGATGTTGAAGCAAATTGAGGAGTTGCTCTGCCAGAACAGTCAACTTAGGGAACGTCTGGTGGGTTGGAGCCTGAATCAATATTTACATCGTATGTTATATTGGTTATGTGTAATATGAATACCTGGATAGCTTATAGTGTGTAAACCAGGCATACTCAACTTACTTTGCCTCGGGGCCACTTGTACAAAAAGACAAGAGGCCAGGGGCCAGTTCCGAAACAACATATGATATTTATTAGTATGTATAGTGAATGAATTGCCTGTTTTCAACTTTTAACTTGTGCTGTCCTCACTCAGCTTTGTCGCAGCCCCAAGGTGTAAGCAGGGGTGTTTGACTTCCAGCAAACTGTGTTCAAAGAATTATGGGTACGTTATACCTGCTGAGTAGCCTGGAAATCCAGACTCAAATCTAGAAAGATTTTGAGTCTGGCCCTCACGATACACCCTTCCTACCCAAGGGGCGGCACTAACTGAGGCATTTCAAATGCCACCGCACGCAATTGGATAGCACGATGGCCAATCAGAGCAAAAAACAAGGTGTCGTATTCATTGCACTGAGACCCATTTGTTTGCCGACCAGTGGGGCTAACTGATATATTATGCTTTTGCTGTATCCTGTCGGCAAACCGGCAAAAACGTCCTTCCTGGAAACAAAGGCTTCTAGGGCAGTCTTCTGTTCCACTCTCATGGAAAAAGATAAGTGTAGTTGGCTTAGCGTTTATTCCAAAGGTCCTTTGGCAGCTGCCATCTTGGCTGTTTACTTTTCGACTCCTACGGTGTAGCGCTGTCCTCATCACGTTACGCCCGCCCAGAGCCCGCCTCTGTCAGATAGACTGATCTGATTGGTCCGATAGGCGATTCAGCGGGCTCTGCTTGTCGGGGCCAGATCCCTGTGCAGTGCAAATTAGAATTTGCTAGGGGCGGGGCATCTGGATTTCCAGGTTACCTGCCGAGGATACACACATGCATTCTTGAAAATTCTCTGAATGAAGGACTCTGACCTCAGTACAATTTGAAGGATCCTTGACAGTTGGAACAGTCCCTAGGTGGGATTTAATGACCTACCATCCTTGAAATTCAGCCATTTGAGAATCCTTACTTGACTTTGAGAAACACCCCGGATGTGTCGCACTGCAGCTTGTGAGCAGATGGCCACGCAAAGTTATGACTATTTTCACTTAGAGATCTGTACCTCTTTGACCTCTGCATCAGCTTAAAATCATGTGAGGACAGCCCCTACTTAAACTTGATTCCTCACCTGACGAGCTGATCTCCAGAGCTATGACTCTCCCTTTTGGCTGTTGTCTTTATAGCCTAATGACAAGATTGTGGGCCATTTAATTTGGGATATTTCTCGACCTCAACAACAAGTCTGTCCTCATCCACTCTTCGTCACACATGAGACCCAACAACAGCTACTGAGTTCTCTTTATCATCCATGGTGCGGAGCTGCCATCAGAGAAAAGAAGAAGAGCTGCTATGGGAGCTGGTATGTACAAACAGAGAGTGAGCGCAGGGAAGATGCATTTAATTCTGGGGGCAGGGAGGCTGTGGTTTGGTGTATCCCGGAGCCCCGACGCGCATCTAGCTGCTGCTGGTGTGGGGTTATACAATGAAAATAATAGGGGCGTATTTTTTGACATGCCGCCGGTGTGTTTTGGACTTAAGCCTGATCTCTGTCTGTAGGTCCAGGGGATCTTCCCCTGTATTTCGATGCTTTCTATGTTCTCTGACAACTTAATAACCTTCAAAGTCCAGCAACAACAAAAAAGTTAAGTGGGAATCAATTTATTTTTTACTGTGACCTAAAAAATGATGGGGGTGGTGGCCACCTGTCACCCAGATTTGATCCAGAGGTGGCAGGTTAAGTATTAGTGGTGTAAACTATGTAGACAAACACACAAACTGAGTACACAAACTGACTCAGCTTTATTTGGAATAGAAGCTCTCAGTCAACCATTGTGTGTCAGGTCAACAACGTTTTTTTAGTTGTTATATTCCCTGCACTACAGAGCTTTTGAAAGATTCAGAAAATGTCAAAATAGTGATAAAAAGTGTTAAATATTGCACATAAGTCAGACAATACTGTAAGCTCTTGACTTCCTGTGGTAATCTCAGTGGATAGTAGCAGCATTAGAGGTTGTTGTAGCATCTGAAGCAGCTGTGTTTGTGTTATTGTTGGAAGCATTTCCCATGATCCCTCTTTTCATACCAGGCCAAGATAAAGTGGGAGTGTACAGAAGAAGAGAAAAACTTCCTTCAGGAGATCTCGAGGTTCAACAGTGACTTCAGTCTTCGAGGAAACAGAGGGGTAGTGTTCGAGAGCCAAACACACACTGAGATCCTGGACCTGGAGAGGGAGGTGGACTCATTATACAAAGGTCATAAAAGACTGTCAGCTGCACTGTTGTCACAGTAGGCAGATGTTATTTAAGGCAGATGTGGCCCTGACCGCTCATTCAAAGCTGTTATTTATGTCTTGGTATACTGTGTGGTATAAGTAGATGAATAAGTGGTAGTGAGTAGATGAATTATAATGACGCTCATGGTCCCTGACATGTTGACAGCATGTCGCTGACACAGTGTAGTCAGTAGTTGGTGTGATTTCAGGTTAAATTTATAGATGGTGGTTAGAGAATGATAGTAAAACTGATATCAGGAATATGTAATGAGATTCATTACTGAGTGGAGTGAAAATATAGCAGCTGTATTGCATAATAATGCAGGGACGTTCAATAGATGCACACAGTAAGAGAAGCTGGACAGTTTTTGAACAGTTTATCGTAATGGAAAAAGAAAATCTGCCCATCTGGACGCTAAAGGGTGTTCTCACACCTTACCCGTTTGGTTTGGTTAAAACAAACTCGGGTTAGTTCAGCTCCTTTGGTCTGGTGTCAAACAACTGAACAGACACCAGTTGAAAAGGGAGGTGTCGCTCAGCCAACAAGCAGACTCTGGTGCGGTTTGTTTGTGGTGTGAAAGCAAACCAACCAACCACAGAAATTTATGATAGATTTTTTAGCGTGATTTCAAAAACTAAACTACTAGTAAACCCTCTGCTGATCGTGAAATTTGTTAAAGAAGCACTCTTTATCTGCATAATTCTGTGTATATAACCAGTCTTTGCAAATCATTTGGTAACCATAGTAACATGTATGCACGCCAGCATGGGCATTTTCCCTAATTAATAGGTCATAAGTTGTTAAACTGCTGTTTTTGGAACCAACTCTGACAGATCACAACTCCACAGTAATAAGCTGTGAATCATTCCCAATTAATAATGATAATAACAGCTTTTTTCAGGCGTCTGATTGGCAGGCATCTTTCTCTTCTTTGTCTTTGCATGGCTTTAGTGTTAGGGTTATATCCAGGGTTCCCACAAACATTCCACTTTGAGAAACATAATGCCAAATTTATTTTCTGTAGCTGGTGACGTAACACAGCTCTAATATGCGTCGATGCTTGGCAACGTTTTGTTTGTCATCACGTATGTTTCTTCATTGTCTTGCTGCAGTTCGTCTCTCCCTTCATGTGTGCCCGCTAGCTGGAATTATGTTTTAGTAGAGTTTGATATGTTTGAAAAATGCCGGAAAGGTGGGGCAAGAAAAGTAATGTTGTGAAGGTGTGACTAAACATGTAGGGTCATGAACCCCAACATTTCCGTACTGATACCCCACTAATACTTTTTAAATTGTACCTCATTTTTGAAATGGGGCGATTGAAATGGGCAGCATAGGGTGTTCGATCTGCCACTGGGAGCGCCAGTGTGCAGTTGTCTTTAATTTCAACTGTTCTGAAAGTAGAGCCTTGTAGTTCGGAGGTACGGAGCGTTCTTGTTCAAACAAATGAACCAAAGGGCCGACTGACCTCCCGGCTGTCACTTCCCCACTCTGGAAGCTCTATTGGTCTGTGTCCAAGGACTGCCTATAATAAAATAATTAACAATTGGAGTAAAGAGTACTTTACAGTTGTGTTCGTGTCCCTGAAAGACGTGGAAAAAATTTTAAATTTTGTCCATGAAAATGTGTGGGAACCCTGTATATCACTTCCAGACGGTTTAGCATGCTCTTGATAGCGCTTCAACTGTGTTTTGGTGTTTTCATTTAGACAGAGAAAATTTTAAAATAGTGTTTGTGTAGACCGGAATTTTTTTTGAGAACGAAGAAGGGAAAAACCCCATTTTCAAAAATAATTGTGCCCATGTGGGCTAGGTCTTAAATGCACCACTGTAATAGAGATGAGCGAGTACACCATTCATCGTATCTGTGCCTGTATCTGTTCAACCAACTAAATTATCTGTATCTGCACTCGGAATGGGCGGGGTTTATGCCAAAAGTGGGTGCAGTTTAAATCGAAAGTGGGTTGGGCCTAATCAGAAGTTGTTATTTTACACCTGAAATTTATATGGATTGATCAGAGGTGGCAATATTTATTACTTACGAGAAAAGTATTTACAGAACAGTCCCAGAACCGAGCTTCAGATAGTTTGTTATCAAAAGAGAAATAGATTAAACACAGCTACTGAAACAAGGATTTCCTTTATCATGAATACAGATAATGACACACTTTAATTAGACGATATTCGTTCTTGTTAAGAGTACATTATCTGTAATAGATACTTGTTTCATCTGAGTATTTGACTCAGCCCTACAATGTATGATTTTTTTCCCTTGGTCTAGACCAAATGAACTGAACTGCTTCATGTGAAAGCAGCAGCTGCTAAAACACATCATGAAAATACACCAAATACTTGTGTCCATGAGAGAGCACACTACCATGTATGTGCTAAATCTGTCCATCTCATCAGTATTTCTCTGTCATAATGTGCACAGAAATACACAAAGAGAAAGAACAAACGAACAGACTAAATCTTATATTTATAGATAAAAGTCAGTTTAGTCCAGGACTTGGTTTTCCTTTGTGTCTTAACAAACGAGGCGACAGAGCGAAGCACAAACCTCCTGAGGTGTAAAGTCCCTCATTTTATGAGTTCATGTTATTTAAATTCTTTGCAGCTCAGACTGTAACACGCCTGACCTCTGCAGCACTAATGAGACTCTGGTTCTTCACATCCCACCATTCATGTGTGTGGTCAAATTATTAGCAATGAAAGTGAAATATCAAAAAGTTAAAAAGAGTTTTGACAACACTGAAACAAAGCTGAGTTAGCTGGGTAAAATACAGTTGTTTTAAAGACAAGGGAAGGAAAGCAAGCAGTAATTTAATCATTATGTTTAACCAAGAATTAGTGTGATTATTGGAATTATTTGTTCAGAAATTGCAGTGGCAATGGTTTATAAAAGTGCAATATATTGTATTTGTTTTAAAGCCTAGCAACGTTTTCATTAGTTCTACAGGATTAAGGGTAAAGCTCCTGTAACCAATAAGCACCAGTGTCTTCAGATAATGTATTATGTCTGGGCTCAAGGGAATAACATTTTCTGATTGTTCAGTTAAAGTGAATTTAAAAAAAAATGCCCATGTTGCATTCCCTTGAAAGTAAAAAAGTTTTCTTCCACTGAGCAGTTATAAAAAATTGAATGGAAAGTTGAGCCCTCCTGGTGATTCTTACTCAGTCAGTCTCGAGGCCTGAGCAGGATCCGTCTCTTTCTCCCTCTACAATCAGAGATGGAGCTGATGAGCCGCAGGAACAGTCACATGAGCGCCGTGCAGCAGGAGAAGAGAGCGCTCCAGCTCCAACTGCAGGGCCTGGAAAACATCCAGAAAGGTGAACACCAACTGTTCAATTTATGTCAGATGATGTGGTTCTGAGAGAGCGCATGTAAAGCGACTGCACTTTTTTACACCGCCGACTGACTGCTGACAGTTTTCTTTTATCTGCAACACGCTTGACAAGCTCCTTTGTTGTTTCATTCGCACACTGCCAATAGCAGACCATCAGTTTCTCAGCTCATTTCCATCTTCTGTTTGACAGAATTTAAAACTAGAGAGAAAGAGTCATCTAGAAATTACAAATGCAGCAGAGTCAGCATTGTTGTTGTTGTACAGAATCTTGAGTCCAGATGTTAAACATAAAATATGTTTCTGGCTTTGTGGCCAGGTTGGAAGGCTCTGCAATGATGGTGTGATTTTTTTTATTAATTTAAATCTGCGTTAAAGGGGTTATACTCCAACTTATACTGTATGTATTCTTCGCTGGAAGCTATCCAGTACACGCACAGGTTAGATGAAGTCAGAACAAAAATAGTACAGCTGCACTGATGTGTTTTACTGGTTTGAGGCATCATGTATAGTAATACCTCCATACTGGATCCCAAGATGGCGCCTTTTCATTCCATTCGCCTTATGCATGCGCCAACAAAAATGTATTGCTTCCAGGTTTACTTCTGCAGTGTGCAGCCCACTGAATGTGAGCAGTTCTGCCAGCAAGTTTCCGCTTGGCTCATCCACTTCACATTGTGATGATGTCGTGGATTTTTAAATTGCTTTGCTTGGTTCAAGGAAAGTTTAACAAATATAAAGTCTCCATGGATCAGAAATAACAGAAGATAACAGAACAGAAGACTCATAATTGGGCCTCAGGGGATTTTTTTTGCTGCAATACCAGGAGTGGCCACTGGAGAACATTGGCAGCAAGGATGAGCAGCGAGGAAATAGTATCCAGGAAGTCCAGTTTAAGTAACTGATCCATGAGAGCAACTCCTTTGGAGTGGGAAAAGTCAAGTGCCTGAAGACCCAGACCCACCAAAAATCAAATAACTAGCGGCGACAAAGACTGACTGTTTGATGGCCTCACGTCGCCTGTGTCTCGGCCAAAATGTTGCACATGAACGCACAACCAAGACTACAGCTAACGGCCAACTGGCATGTACGTTTTGCGCCTGTATGAGAGGAAATAACTCTCCACAGAGACAGAGCGAACTTACTTCCTGTCTCCACTGTAGGGGAAAACAATTTGTCGATCTTCATTGACTTTGTATTGCATGAAGGTGCCTCTTTGTCACTTAAGTCTGCTAGCAAACAATGCTGTGTGCTGGGGTGCACTTCTAACAAGATAAAGAACCCAAAACTAATTTTTCATAAGCGGCTTAACTGAAACCCTGAGCTTCTGAGCAATAAGGAATCTGCAAGAAGGATGGGAAAACTGGGATCCTGACAATCAGTATGCCCAACGTCAAGTTTTCAGCAAGCATGTCACTAATTTGGCAAGACAAACTGTAGAGGCTGACACTAATGTGGTTTTGATCTTACCTGGTAGGTCTGTCAAATGTTTGTAAATATAAAGTATGTCACCTCTGTCCATTCAGTGGGATCATGGGTGAATGGGTCCAGCAAACACCGACTTTCACCCCAGAGAGCAGCGTTCACATCCTGTAAGATTGTAAAGACAAAACCTGTTCTTTTATCCTAAACTCAACCACGTGCGTGTGTTGGTGAAGGAAAAAAAATGTCAATTTGCGGTGTTGTACCGACGTAGTGCTTTTGTGTTGTATTTTGAATGCATGTAACAGGCTGAAGTTGACACAGTGTCCCAGAAAGTCAACAACCAACACACCCAGGGTACCTTGGACGTCGTATGTGTATGTAGAAAGTCCATGACCAAACGCCAATATGTGATGAGGTCGGAGTGAGAATGTGTTGGATGTGACGCCATCTTGACTTTAGTAGTTTGTTTGCGCTCCTCACTTCCATATCTCTTCTCATGCACTGAGCTGAACTGCCAATCAGAGTGTTTTCCTCTCACCAACGGTCTCTGCCAGGCCAGCCCTGCCGCCGATTCAACATGCCTAATCCTAAAGGACTGACTAGTGCCAAAAGTGCTGGACACACCTCAAAAACTAGGATGACAGAGGCTCACCAACAGCCGACAGTCAGCCTCAAGTGTCAGAGCTCTTACAGTCAAAACATCCCATAGTTATGGTGTTGGGGGGGTATTGTATAAACCAGACTGTGTCCCATTGTCTCAGCCACCTCAGCAAATGCGTTAACAGTGCACCTGTGTCTGTCGTGTTTGAGGAAAGTGATTTGGCGTTTGATTTATCACTCCTGACTGCAGAGCTGGATCAGCAGTTGATTGAGGCTGAAGCGGTGACAGAATCTCTGCGAGCCGAGAGCCTGTTTGTCAGTCAGAAACCTCGCACTGACAGCACCTGTCTGAGGTGAGTCTCATCAACTGTCTGGCTGCTGAGAGAGGTTCATATATTTGGACACGCAGACGCAGTATACAGTACCTGATTTGCTTTCAATTAAATTATGTCACAGTATATAATCCTTACGAGGCATAAAGAAGTAAACAGTAAACGCTGCGGGGGAATAAAAGCAAATAAAACTCAAAGGAGAAAAATAGAACAAAACAAAGTGTAAACACAGCAGTAAGCTATTTAGCGGCTCATAAAAAATGTTAATTCACAGGCTTTCCTTACAGCCGTCTGATATTCTAAATATTCCTGCTGAGCAGCTGTGATTTTTAATTAGTTAAAAGTGCAATCACTGTCCTCTCATCACCAAAACTCTGATTTTTATACAGTATAACTGATAAAAATCATGGAGCACTAATAGCTGCAGCCACTCGTGTGTTGCTAAATGCTCTTAGAAAAGGACAAGAGGAGAATGACAGTGTTAACAGCACAATATGACGCAGCGTTCTGCAGGCCCATTAGATAGAAGGTGTTATTTATGCAGAGCAGAAGTGAATCATACTGTGAGAAGTGCTGAATAGACCAGTGAGCCCAGCTCCCGTCTGTGTTTCTCTCTCTGTGCCCTGCTGGCTGGACTCCAGATCTACAAGTGTAAATAACAGAGCATTAAGACCATTTGGCTTAATTAAGGCTTTGATCTGCGGTGTATTTCATTCAGTCAACAAGTGGGGAGAAAGAAACTGAGGCTGATGTGATTGATGCAGGAGGTTTGTTAGGGAAATGAATGAGGGGCTCAGAGTTCAGCTTTTACACTGAATGCTTATCCAACAAAAATACAGTTTGATTCAGTGAAAACATGATTTCACTAAAACCAAACTTTAATGTGTAAAGTGAACACATGGAGCAACATGAACATCCCTCCTTATATAGGGGTACTTCGCCAATTGACCCTTCGCTAAGCCCCGCCCCTTTGTGATGGTCAGACAAGCTGTTGCCGTAAGCATGGAGCCCACACTGTCACCAACTGCACTCCCTGAAGAATCATATTTTCGTAAAAATGAAAGAGTGATTCCAGAGAGAAGCAGACAGAGGGGTCTACAGCCTGTGTTTGAAGGATATATCCAGGATGTCAAACTGACTCAGCAGCAACAGCAGGTTAAAAAGACAAAGATAATTAGAAGCTGAAGCCGAACTATAGGCTTCACAGTGTAAAAGTGAACCACCACATCACTGCCGATCGCCACACAAGACAATGAATATAAAGGGAAACTTTGCTGATATTCAACCAGCTGTGTGAGCTGAAACCATTGCCCTCAGTGGAAGTTTCACAGATAAGAAACAATAAATTGTGAAACAACAAAGCAGAGCTTTATTGATTTATCCTGACCTCATGTAACAAAGACAGGTTTTTATCATCTCAAGAATATAGCCAGAGTCCGCCCGTTTCTCTCTCAGGCTAACACAGAGGTGCTGATGCATGCTTTTATCTCTTGCCAGAATACTGTAATGCCCTGCTCTCTGGTCTTCCCAAAAAGACAATCATCCAATCTACAATTACTTCAAAACTCAGACGCACGTGTGCTGACGAAGACCAGAGAGTGATTTTAAAATTGCTGCATTGGCTCCCTGTGTGTTTCAGGATTGATTTTAAGGTTCTTTTATTAGTTTTTAAATGTCTTAACGGAGGCTCAAGACTCACCTTTTTAATTTGGCTTTTAACTGATTTCTTCTACTCTTCTTTCATCATATTTTATTTTATATTTTATTTATTTTTATTTATGTTTTAATGTCTAATGTTCTTAATGATCTACTTTTAAATCCTTATGCATTTTATTATTTTTGATTTTTAACTCTTTATTTTTCTATCTTATGCTTGTTTTTATCCCATTGTCTTTTAGTCTTTTAGTTTTTAGCTCCAGTGTTTCCTCATGGGGGGCCTCCACACTGGGAGGTGTGTCCGGTCTGCCTGCGGGGACGTTGTCCTGGAGATCCCTCGGGCCCGGAGGACTGGGGGGCTCTGCACCATGTGTGGAGTCCACCCCGGTCTATCTGGGTTGGGGTGGTCTCTGTGGCGGCGCTCCCTGTGGCCGTCGGTGTGGATGGCTCCCCATAGGTGGTTTTTCCTCACCTGGTGCCTCAGTGCCTGTGTATTATATGTGGGGGGTGAGAGGGGCGGGTTTTTCATTGTTTTGTTTTTTTTATCTTGTGAAGCACTTTGTGTTGCATTTTTATGTATGAAAAGCGCTATATAAATAAAGTTTGATTTGATTTGATATGCGCAGAGGAAATCTCCGCTAGTCGCTAGGCTAATTTATACAATGTAAAATGCCATAGGCTTGTGCTAAAAACATTAGCACGTTGTATTTGTGGGGGAAATGTGTTCAGATAAAGACAAGTGTTTGTCTGTGAATGATGCGAGTTATAGTGAAGCTGATTTGTGTTTGAAATTGTCTCTGTTAAGTCATGTTTAATATGTGTTTAATGTGTGTTTTGAATCAACTAAACTTTACAGCACTTCACAGAAACTCTGTCACCAACTGGTGTGTTGGAGGTGTAACTGCAGAGTGACACAGACACACCACTGCACAAGTATAAATGCTCACAACAGTGTAGGCCACATGTGTAGGCTACGGCGTAGGCTCTGCATAGAGCTGACGCACAAGTATAAATCCCGTTTAAGATCTGTGTTGGTGAGCTGATTTCTGTAAAGTCCTGTGAGATCAAGTGTCTTGGTTAAGTGTTCCTTCACCACAAGTCTCCAAAACAACTTTGTGGACATAGATTCTCCAAGTCTCTTATGCCCTTCTGGAGGGATGAACACCATTCCTCCAAAATATATCCCCTCATTTGGTGTTTTAATGAGAGCTCTGTCTCAGCCCATAATCTCCAATTGAGATTTGTTGACTGTGAAGGTGATAGCAGAGCATGATTTTCATAATAGGCACACTTATCACACTATGCAGTGACCCCTTATGCCCTAGATGGACTAATTTATCCTGATTTTTCTTAATTGGCATCTATTGGCATCTGTAAAAAATGAGATTACAGCATCTTTTTTTTCCCTTTTTTTTCAAAAACAGTAAAGGGCCTTTGGTCAGTCATCAAATCACAAAGCCAGACAGTGTAATTTAAGACTGGTTTATCATATAACAGCAAATCTACATATTTTAAATCTGCACCTTTGACAGTGAGTGGGAGAGCACGGATTTCTAAGAGAGAGAGCTCAATAAGAGTACAAGCTGTTACCAAACACTAAGAACTAAACTCATAAATACTCACACATTTCTTATCTCCTTAGATTAGAGTTTAGATTAGAGTAGATTTCACTGGTAAAGACGTGCCTGCTCATCCCAGTAGAATATGAACCAGCTGCAGAATATGAATTGAGGGCCTCCTCTATTGAAACATGACTGTTAGGTGAGTGCCGGTCCACTGAGTTTCTCCACAAAGAGACTTCCTTTATTTAATTAAAGACTGAAGATCAATAGTGTTCCAGGAAGGAAGGGTCATTGTTATTGCTGATGCCGCTACTTTGGATAATGTCTTCTCTCCAATACTATGAATGTGAAGTGATTAACAAATCCCCAAAACCCATCGAGACAATAGGGTTTACAGGATTGCAAAAAGAAAACTCTGTAATTCTCAAAGCGTCTGCAAACGATGAAACGCACCCCTAACTGCATCTGCCACGCAAACAGCACTTCGGTACTCCTGTGCTATTTGCACATATTTAAATGAGGTTATATGAATACATGTGGCGCAGAATTGGACCCTTTTCTATGTAAATGAGCCTCATTGCAAAAACAGTCCAATTCACAAAGATCAGCGCTAATAGCCGCACGCAGTTACAATAAAATTATGAGCATTGTATGAGAGTTGGTGGCAACTGACAAGCATTTATCGTCAGCCTGGAGCAGGAGGACCAAACAGGAGGTCGATTAGACCGCTATTTATTCCAGCAAACTGAAGTGCTTACAACCAAATCAAGGATCCAACAAAGACTGAACTGAAAACTAGCACTTAAATACAAACTAGTCTGACGAGGGGATGAAGTACAGGTGGAGAAAAAGGGGCGGAGAGCGGAAGGGAGCTGATTGGCTGGAAAAAGGACTAATGAGGCTGATAGAGGTTTGTAGCTAGGTAAATGAGGGAAAGATGGCACAGGAATACAGGAGGGAAAGAACACAGTAAACAGAAACTAAAACACAAACTGCTTAATAATAAACTGACTTAAAAGACTAACTAATGCGGGCAACTTAAATGAGTCCGTCACACTCAGTTCAGTCTTTCCAAAAAGTCATCAGGACACTGACTGTGACATTAAATGAGAGGTGTCACGCCCAGACTTTCCAGTGATGATTGACTGTAGACAGGTGAAGGCGTCATCATGCCAGGCACGTCATGAGCGGACATTTGTAAGGAGAATGTCACTTTCTGATTCGACTGAGACAGAAATTATTTGCCGATACAAAATTTATTTTTCTCGCTGCCATTGTTCTGCCATGTGTGTTGTTAGTGCAAAGAAAACATTTATACTTTGCCACATGAATAAAAGCAATTAGATGCAAGAAAAGACAAATTGCACTCAGCTTCAGAACTTTATAGACATGTTTATGATGTAATATCATCAGTGCAGTATCTTGTATGAATCAGACTTTGAGACGAAGCAAAGTTGCAAGTTATGTACAAAACATGATCAGCATCTGCAGACACGATCCATTCTTTGTGAATTCAGCCGTCAGTTTTTATGCCTCTGTGCCAACAATAGCCGTGGGCGGAGGCATTATGTTTTGGGTCTTGTCTTATGAACACGATATCTAAACAACGCCTTGGGGGAATTTTTTTTCAAATTTGGCACAACATCCAACTGGATTCAAGAATGAACTAATTAGATTGTGGGGGTTATAGGTCAAAAGTTAAGGTTGTGTTGACCTCATCTGTCTCATTCTTGGGAACCTGATATCTCAAGAATGCCTTTTTAGGGAATTTTTGCAAGTTTAGCACAAACTTTCCCACGGACTCAAG